GACCGTACAAATTTTTAAAGAGTGCACCGATGGACCCTCGCAAGGAGCTGAGGACTCGCTTCAGGATCCTTCTGCTCTCAAGAAAGTCGTCGTAAAAAAGAAGGAATGACACGAACGCTGCTTCAACAGTTCCGTTGAATTTAGAAACCGTGGTTCGGCCGGAATCGTGTAAAAGATACGAGTCCTAATCAAGTGCATTTGAAAAGTTTCCGATTGGCGACAGAGGACCTTGACCTAATTGTATAGTGATATTTTTCACTCAGGGAAACCTGCAGAGTCCGAGGGAGTGGAGAACGTGCTTTGCAGATGGAAGGGTTCGACCTGCATCGCCACATTCGCCTGTTTACGCACATTTGTACAGTGCTGGAGGGAAGGTTTCATCAGCGGTGCTCATCCTGTTGCCCAACAAGCGTCAGGCTGCCTAAAACAAGCTTTGCAACAGGTGCTTGAACTTCATCCGGATTCGATTGCTTGCAACTTCGAAATTGCACCGATGCACGCAATGAAGAACGCGTTTCCAGATGTTCAGGTTCATCATGTTGCTTTTACAACCTGAATTACAACACGAAGAAAGGTTTCGGAGAACTGTATTTACTAGGTGATCATGGCGCCAATGCCGATTCTGCCTTGCAAGCAAGGATGATTACCGTGTTGGCGTCTGGATCCATTGCTGAACTTGAGGAAACGATAGGCGGGCTGGCGGAGGAACTTCCCAATATGAACTGCAGCCACTTCTTAAGTGGTTCCAAGTCATCTACGTCAATCGATTGAATCATGGAGAAAATACAAGACGTGCGCCGTTGTTTCCATTAGAAAAGTGGTCGGTTTATTGTAAGGTGATCCACAGCGAAGATCGTACCAATAACCATGCGAGACAGCCCATGGTTTAATTCAGAATCGAACGGGGAATGCCGCACCCGCCGGGACGGAAGTTAATTGATGGGCTCCGCAAAGCACAGAAGGGTCGAGATATATATCACGAACAACTTGCTGTCGGTCATCAGCCAACAGTCGAGTTGAAGAAATATTGGGACGCTGGTTCAAGAATATAGTTTAGCATGGATGACTAAGATGATATGGATATTATTACTTTTCTCCGTAGGTTAGTGCATGACTCGATGTATATTTTAAACAATAAAAACTGCTTCTATGATGAAGAAGTTTGACATTTACTTTGTTTCAGTTGATCGTTGTTCGATTCCGACTGTTTCATTTAGCCCATGGATTTGAAGATTAAAATTCTATGAAACATATAGATAACGCTATCACTCTTTGGTACATTAAAATGAATGACATGCCATGGAGAAACTTTTACGTTAAAGCCATATACAAATTCAGTGTAGTGACAAAATTTACGTATTTCGCTCAGAGAGAACTTGTTGTTACTATGAAGCATGATGAAATTAGTCATAAACGAAGCAGAGATAGACTTCTGAAATTTCCATAAATTCAAACTAGCGATTGTTAGCGTTGAGTCACGCTGATATAGTAAACCTGTGTAATAATCACAATGAAATCGTCAGACGAAGATGCGAAGTTGTAAATTACCACTTGTGACAAAAGTTTCACATTCTGCTCGCAAGTAGCTTTCGAACGATATAACGTGAGGGGTTAAATTAAATAATTAATACAGATGACCAGCAGCACTTATATTAACTCAGACCCGTGATTAGATGAGGGCACGCTGACTTAGCAACCTCGTGGAGTTTGCACGATGGAGTCATAAAATGAAGTTCATTAATGTTCATAGTTTGATAACAATTTTGCACTGTACTCGCATAGCCATCCCAGTGATAGGCAATACAAGAGCGACGTCAAATTATTGATACAGATGACCATCTGTCAAGGACATAAATTAAAATTCCTGATGGCAGACTGCGCCCTGACATATACTGAAATCGAAAAGTGCAATTGTGATAAGGAAATCACCGGTTTGGCAAAGGCATCGCACTTCACTGTGGCAGAAAATTACCCACTGATATAATATGATGGGCTGAATCACTCAACGGATGAAGCTGACCACTGTCCAGTCATTCAGACTCAATGCACCGACTGCAGAGCTGAGCGCTGGCACCAACTACAGGTCTGCGCCAGAACGTCCCATTCCACAGACGTTTCGCTTATTGAAATTTGCTCAAGCTGGGGGCCACGACCACAAATAATATTCGACGACGACTTTGATGTGCCATTTTTGAATATATCAGAGCAGAAATTTTGCATAACTGTAATTTTTATCCATTGCACAAACTTCTATCACAAGAAATCCTCCTGTTGGGCACGGTAAAAAGGCTTGATGTTGACGTTCTCTCATTTTCGCTAATTCAGCGAGAATACTTTTCAAATTGAAACTTTGATCCCCCTTTCATATTTACCTACTGCTCGCATAACTCCAAATATTTTTCTTTGCTTCCCACTAAAATATTTATGTATTTTACAGAGTGGTAGCAAAACTAATGCATCGATGTTTAGGTGGTTCCGAAAGGATTCGAATTTTTTGCCCAAAATCACCTGGTAACAATCTTCAGCGCACCAAACTACTGTAACGAGTTTGACAACGCAGGTGCAATAATGCTGATCGATGAACATCTGAGGTGCCGGATCTTGGTATGTTTTACCGAATAATTAATTTACCATGTTACACTGATTTTATAGCAACTCCGACCACTGAATGATTTTTAGGAATGCTTGACTTCCTACCAGTGCTGACAGACGTTATATCTACCGCAGATCGACAGCTGTGCAGGAACTAAAGTCCGAGCTACTATATATTTATTTTATAATGATGAAGAATTAATCTTTTTCGTGTGTTCAGCATTTATCATGGGGCATGACCAAGAAGCGGCTAACAGCAGCTGAAAGTGATATTATTAATCTCTCGCTTGCAAGAATTGATCAGATATGTTAGACCGTATTGATTAACTATTTGACCTGAGGGAAA